CAGGAGACACCTCACCTTTATTTCCCCTCCCAATTACCTCATCCCTTTCTGTGTCCCAAAGCTTGTGCCTTTCCTCCCTCTTTACAATTAGAACACTTGCCTAACGAGGAACATTAAGCCGAGTCCTTCCGTTTGGCTCACGCCGCTGGCCACAAGCAGCCCGTGCCCAGTGAGGCGGGGGACACGTCGGGCACACCGCACCCCACACGCCTCCCGGCCTCTGGCCTCCACCCACTTAGAGACTGCATTGAGGCTACATTTGAGGCTTTCTGCTTCATGACCAACAGTTCTTTGGGGAATTTTTGGTTTTGCTGGTGGTTTATTCTTTTTTGCAAGTTCTACATAATTTTGAAGATATTTAATTTCTCTTTCAGCATTTTTCACAGATCTCATTATGGGCACTAAAGCTGTAGTTACAAAATCTGCGTCACTTTCTGTCTTGATTTGTGAATTACTGTAAAATCAATACCAGCAAGCAAAACAAAACCAGACAGAATGCTGAAAAGGGCCAAATTTTCTGCTGATCTCAAGGGGCCTTACTATTGTCAATGGGGATATATTTATCCAAGCAATTATTTGCTCCACCCTATTTGTATTTGTCTGCTAGTACAATTTTCTTAGCAACTCAGAAATCAAGACAGAATAGCAGCATGTATTTTTCCAAGCCCAACAGATTATCCATTATTTCCTTCTGTCCCTTATTGTTACGAAATAAACTTTATATTCATGCCTTGTACTTTACAGAAAACTAGTTTCCTTTATTATTAATTATATTTCAAAAAATAAAGGATTTTATATAGTTAGCTAATATAATTGTAGCTAACAAAGTATCGGGTCTGAACATGAAAACTGTAAAAATCACAAATAATTATGTCCACAGCATATCTGGACCATATGAGTGTATAGTCTGCAGGTTCACAAAGAAGTGGCGCTCCTTGATGTGCTTTTGGCATGATTAAGTAAAACTTCCTCATCAGAATTTCAAACATCTGCCCCTTGTTTATTGATCTCTAAATCACATTGTAGATGTATACATACATTATACTCAACTCCACTTTTACTAGTAAACCTTTTATTATCCCATCTCATTTCACAAAATAAATAGTTATTAAGAATAAATGTGAAATATTGTACCTGGTGTAGTGAAGTGCATAGTCCTATCAAACGTATGGATTTTTGAAAAGAGAAAGATGAGTAGTTTTTCACTTTTGGAGTATTACTGTTAGTAGAACAAAAACGAAACCCTAAAAACTGAGAGCTGAGATAGCAGTTAATGCATAAAGAAAACTACAGTTTTAACAAAAAATATGGACTGATACAGTTAAAAATAAATCATAATATGTGGCTTAAACTAACTTGTAACTTTTAATATGTGGTTCTAGAAACTGCAGATTCAGGAAACTGAAACGTGCAGACTCTGCCAACAGAGAGTTTACCCAATGGAATGCCTAGTTGCCGACAAGCAGAGTTTTCATAAATCATGTTTCCGATGTCACCACTGTAGCAGTCAATTAAGGTAAGAAGTAACTGCATTTTCACTCACAGAACTCCACATCTGAATATAAATACAGCCAGTGAAATTCTTTTCAAGCAGGATGTTTAAGCCCATAGGATGTTGGGTTGACAGGGAAATAACCTGGGTTCCCCTTTGCTTCTCTGCAACTGACATGTGCACTGCGATGCAAGGAACAAGCCCTTTAAATTCTCAAAAGAACTGTTCATCCCAGTATCTTCCAAATGCTTCTGCATCTTACGTCCTACTGACTGTTCCAGAACTTCAGGAGAGCTCATGAACAGGAAGCAGTAGATACAAATACTGGGGTGCAATTTAAGACCTCTGAACACAGACCAAATTTTCTCAGTTTTTCTAATCCATAAAATGAATGAAGATGGTTCTTCAGCAAACCACTCTGTAATTGTTATAGGAAATGCAGTATTTATTGCTCTATCAGACTGCAAAGACTAACAGTTCTGATTTTAACACCTCTGAGATTAGTTACACACATTTCCTTTACTTCATTTAGAGGAGAATCCAAATATAATCAAACACAAATGTCTATAATTCGCACAAAGGCTAAAGAAAATTGGCACTGCATTTCCCCCACCAATTTTATAGGAAAAAAAAAAGAGTATTCAGTCTTCAATACGACAAAGAAAAGGTCCCAACAACCCTTAAGTGCTGTAGAACATTCCTGTTTGAAGCTTATCCTGTGTAACAACTGAGTAAGTTTATGTTCTTTCTTAAATCACAAAGCACGATTTCTCACCTTCATTTTGACTTTAAAATTATATGGTAATTTCCAATTGAAGGTTTTAGATACTTTTGTGTTTGTGTCTTGTCAGAATTGGCCAATACATTGGATTTGCTCTCTTTTTGCTCTTCCTTTCCTTATAAATATTGTCCTGTAGCGATACTTGAAATACTAAATAAAGTGTAAAATTCATGCTAAGTTTATGATATGTAAAAGTATAAAACAAATTTTCTTCCATTTGGCAGCTTGGGAAATTACGCATCTCTCCACGGAAAAATATATTGTAAACCCCATTTTAAGCAACTTTTCAAATCAAAAGGAAATTATGATGAAGGTTTTGGACACAAGCAGCATAAGGAATTATGGAATTCTAAAGATCAATGTAGCTCAGTTGGCAATACTCATGCTGAAGAAACAAATCCTGCTAATAGTATACCTAATGATCCTAAACCAATTACAGAAATTGATCAAGACTTGTTCTCAGGTACTGAAGGTATGCATTCTGATATTTTGGATAATAATTTGAAAAAATCCACAGAAAGAGGTAAATTAAAAATGACATGGCCACCTTCAACAGATGATGCGACGCCTAAGAGAACATTTTCTATTGAAGAAGAAGCTAAAGTAAATAAGCCTAGGTGGCCCCCAGAAGGTTTTGCTCAAGAAGGTTCTGGTTTACATACAAATAAACCTCTGGGCAATAAAGAGGATCCTCAGAAAAAAAATGCTGTGGGAGATCAAAATAAAACTGACATGACAAATGCACAACAAAATCAACACTCATCCCCTAGTTCTCTGTCTGAAAAAGAAGCTACAAATATCTGTAAAGCACAGACAAATGAAGCAGCCAATAAGGGAAAAGATGAGGAAGCTGGGAATGTGCAAGATAAGCTGAATAAAACAGGAGGACCACAGAATAGGGAGGAAAGCGGAAAGGGTATTAATGAAGGTGATAATGTGATTGTGCAAAGTGCTGGGAAGGAGCAAGAGAAAAAAATTAATGAAACTGATAATTCAGAAGTTGTACAGGTTACTAACATTGATGATGTAACAGTACAAAAGAATCACAAAGAATTCAGCTTGAATAACAATAACAACAACAATTATGCCACTTTTTCACATCTAAACATTAGTGGGCAGGAAACAACTCTCTCAGCTACGTCTAAGCCAATGACAGCATTAAGTCATGCAATTTGCACTGTATCACAGCATGTGTTTGCAAAGCTGGAAAATCAGCCTGGAAATGAAGAAATATTTGGGATGAATGAATTTCATGAGAGCTATTCTAGCAATACTGTAACTGTTTCATCAGACAGAGAGAACTCAAAAGACAAAGATGCCATTACCCCTGATAGTCTTACTCAATTTAATGAAGATGCCACTTGTCAGAAGTCTCGTACAAATAACACATTCATTTTAAAGGAGGCAACTAATACAACATTCCCTGTTGATACAGAGTTGGTATGCATTGGAAAAGAATCCAAATATGAAAAAAAAGTAAATACTCTTTTATCTGACACACCGAAAACATCTTTTCTTAAAAAAGACAACCTGGTTACAGACTGTGGTCTAATAGACTCTGTAGGCATAACTAAAAAGTCCTGCAGCCCATATTCAAAAGAACACAGAAATTGCGATACTGACCTGAATGGTATTAATGCCTGTCAAGAAAGTGAAATAATGGAAGTGTCAAAGAATAACCTAAACACAAGCTTAGATTTACTGACCTCAAGATATACAGCTGTTCCATCATTCCAAGACGAGAAAGTGAAGTTCAAACACCTCACTGTAGAAGAACAAATTAAAAGAAATAGATTCTACGATGAAAATTAATAAAACATCTAAGTCATCAGCTATGTCTGTCACTCATCATAAAGTATGTCGTAAATACGTATTTCTTCAGCCCAGTTATTTTATAGTTCTTCCTGAAGAATTTAATATTCAGAGATTACACATGAAAATTTGTATTATATACTGTCACTTACTCAGACTTTATTTACTTAGTTTATATTTAAGGCAATGAAGATGCATAAAATAGATTTTTTTCAGTCTGTAATTAAAACAACTTGTCTCTCTATGTTCCTGAACACTGCAAGAAATGATTGTCCTGCAGAAACAACATAATTCAATTTTGTTTATCATTTGTAACAAATTAAGATGTTAAGCACCTGGTGTGCATAAAACAAGAAAAGATATTTCCATAGCTTTTTTCTTATATATTGTTATTATTGTAACTGAGCTGTTGCTCCATGACATATTATGTACATTTGTTGCGTTAGCTCATACTAGAAGATTTGGGGCTTGGTTGGGTTTTTTTGCAATATCATGCAGTACTTAGTTTGAAATGGACTGATTATTAAATAGTAACCACAATTGATGGGTGAATAGTATTGTTTTGCTATATCCCTACAGCTGCTACTATGGCATTATATTGCGTGATAGGGGAAAAAAAAAAAAAAAAAAAAAAAAAAATTTTAACAAAGAAAAAAACCTCTCGGCCATGCTAGCTGGCTGTTGTGTACACCACATGAAGTACTCAGAATCACACAGATTTAAGGAAAGCAAAAAACATCTCTCCGTATATGTTCTTGCAGGGTGTAATTGGTGAGGGCATTTGAGGCTTCTAGCACGTGCCTTTTTGAGAAACAGCATTTGTTTTGTGCCTGTGCATTTACCTACAAAAAAAAAAAAAAAAAGTAAATTTTAACACAGGATAAACCCAAACATCCTAGACGGAACTGGAACAAGGCTTGGGAACAAATAGACTAGTGGTTGTTTCAGTATCTAATTCAAAGTCATTTTAAGTGAAGCAGCTTTTCCTTTTCATATTTAAACCTGTACAAACTTAGGCAGATTTAGCAATTTTTTTCCTTAACGTGTTTATGGATTAACATTTGCTCTCTTAACACTATTCCAGCTTGCATGAAACAGCAACATATCATTTAACTGTTGACAATGCATAATAAAAAAGCACTTTACAAAAAGTATTTTGTGCAGTTTTTTTAATATGAATTTATACATATGATTTTCAGTTTGTGAAATTCTTCATGTGATAATTACTTTAAAGGGCTTGTTAGAGTGACAGGGAAGGATAATCAAAACACAGATTTTGAAATAATTTCTGAAGTATCTGACAGAGACAAGTGTTTGGAGTAATTTACAGGAAAGATAGGTTGATGTTAAAAACATTTAAGAAATGATTGTGCAGAGTTCTAGAACAAAATATCTGTTGCCCTGCAACTCATTGCTCAAAGCAATGGGACCGTGGGTAAGTGGGATAGCCAAATGTGATTCTTCTTCTGTACCTACCCAGAAACAAGTACGTAGTATGTCCACATGAGAAAAGCTATACATAGTATTTCTTCCACAAGAATACTTCAAGAGAGTGAAACCTCCTCTTTATGCATCATGCTTCACTCCTTCCAACTAGTTTCATGAAAAGCAGAAATATAGAAAAGACCCCTTAAAATGAATGTTACCAGAAGACTAATTAGAAATCATGTAATGCACTCCGATAGCATTGTATTTGATAACTTTGTTAAAAATCATTAGCCTATAGGCCATTGTCAACATTCTAAAATTATTTTGTCAAGATCTTTCTCTCTTATTCCTCCCCCTCCTCCCATTTTGTTGTAAACACAGTAAATTATTTTACAAACCCACAAGATTAGTAAATAGATGTAAATAACTTTGTTTTGCATAGATAACACAACTAAAAATAATATCAACAAATATTTGCTAAGAAAACAACAAAAAAAAATCTCTGAAAATGCAAGCCTGAAGAAAATCAATGAAATTTGTCTAAAATATTTTTTACATATTGTAAATATATGTTTAAAATATTATTTACATAAGCTAAACTTCTAAATCACTCCAATTCCCAAAAATTGCTTATTAGGTATAAGATCAGCTGTGACTGTATTAGTTAGGAAAGCGGAATGACCTTGGGGGTGAAATTAAAGCTGTTTGTTGATATGTGCTTACATAGGTATGATCATGTGCAAGTTAATAATTCAAGTGAAAAGCTAATAGGATTGCAACACTTGTACCTCAAGTATAGTCCTGTGCCAATTTTCATTCTCCTGCATATTCTGATGAAATTAAACTTGTATCCTACAATTTAGAGGACCGACAGATATCAGTTATGATAATAAAAACTCATTTACACTAAGAAATTCATGCATCTGAAAATATTCTTACAAATACAGACCTTTTTGCTTCACCTAAACAAAATAAAAACACCCCCAAAAATGAGTCACAGAAAATGCTTGTTCCCTTTGGCCAGCTAGAGATGACTCAGATAAAGGCTTTGATAAAATAGCAGAAAAAAAGCAGGACTGTGAGGAAATTTTTATTCCCCGAGAGAACAATATGTAAAGTCAACATACGTAAACGTCATACCATATGGGGCAAATCTCCTTGGATATTCCATGATGGGGATTCTGCTTAGCATAGGACAGACACAAAAGCGCAAAGCCTTCCTCCAGTGGATTCATTAGCTTTGCACTCTCTTTTCTCAGTGGGGGGCTTTTTTATTTCCTCCGGTAGTGAGGATGAATGTTAAGGAAAAATTAAATGATACTGCGTAATTATTTCTTTGAAACACAAGCCAGGTGTCCCATCCTACTGTCTTGGAATTCTTATACAAATCAGAAGGATGACACCTTGTAAACCTGTTCTAGAAAACTAATCACCATGGGTAATAAAAAAAAAGCAAAAGAATGTAAATTATCTGAAAAAAATTTGAAGTAGGAGAGTTTTTCAGAACTTCAGCCAAAAGCTTAGAGCAGAAATAATCAGAGACAAGACAAGGCTGGAACTGACTGAGTTGTGTGTTTGTCTTACTCCCTTTTCCATAGAAGGCAACAGAGATGGGAGATGGTGCATGTCTGAGTCACCCTAATGTATACATACATTACCACTACAGAAGCCACACTCTGGAGTGAATGCATATAGCAGTTGAAAGTGAGATTAGGATAAAAGTTGTAGCTAGAAAGTAGCAATCATACATATCTTCTTTAAATGAAATGCTAGATGAATAGTAATGCCTTACCTGTGAAAAAGCCTCATGCATTTTGGCAAAACCATCCAGATTTACTGCAGCCAGGAGCTGGTCTTTATAGTTTTCAAAGAACTAGCATCTATTAGAGCTGTAGTTTTGTGACAGAAAGTGGTTATTCCAAGTTTAAGTATCTTTAAGTTAACCTCTAGGCTTTCTTTTATCAGCCTCAAGTTGCACCAGGGGAGGTTCAGGTTGGATATCAAGAAAAATTTTTACACTGGAAGGGTTATCAAGCATTGGAATGGGTTGCCCAGGGAGGTGGTTAAGGCACCATCCATGGAGGTGTTCAAAAGACGGGCTGACGTGGTGCTGGGGGACATGGTTTAGTGATGTTTTGGTTGGTTTTTTTTTTGTCAGAGTTAGGCTGACGGTTGGATTAGATGATCTCGAAGGTCCCTTCCAACCTAGATGATTCTATGATTCTAAGTTTTAGTACCCAAGTTTAAATAACTAATCAGTTTGTAATAGTCCAATTTTCTGTGAGAAGATGGCTCCCGAGAGGAATCCTGGCACTGAAACCCCCATTCTCTCAGTGGGATAACTCCCTCTGGCTACTCCTAGGTTTCACCCCTCAGCTCATGGACAGGATATTTAGCAGTGCCCGGGAACGGGACCTTACAGTCATGGAGGGCAGAGCTGATCCATTTCCAGCGCAGCTGCAGCCAAGCACTGTTCAACAGCAGAACCACACTGACAAGGAGCAGTGCAATGAAACTCCTCTGTGCTGTGATTTAGTACAGGAAACTTGCAGTCTGAGAAGTCTATTTTCACTAGGTAGTATTGACTAGTGAAGATGTTCTACTGCTTTTAGAACACAGCAGGGTTCATGTATTCTTCTATACTCAAAAGCACCAATTAGAGAGATTAAAGAGCCTGATTTAATACCTTGTTAAGGAGCTTCTGAATTGCTTGGCCAGCACTGGACTTTAGAGGACTTCTAAATTTGCAGTCCCTTTGCGGCTTCATTAACATAATTGGCACGAAGACTTACTTAGAGCTACTTAAATTGTTTTTATAGATGCAGCATATCAACCGATCCCTTTGGAGTCTTTATAGAGTCAGGGGCATCCTCAAAACTATAGAGGGACCTAAATAACACTTTTACTATACTGCTGAAATGGACTCATAGGTGAAGGACTCGCTGAAAGCAAATGCTTGATTACTGCAAAAAGTGTACTTACCTTGTCTGTCTTCTGTTAAGCATTTATCGCCTTCATGCATATTAAAAGGCATACCTACATTAGTATCTTAAAAGACACAGTGCTCAGCGTAGACATTAAAACCATGCTAAGGATCTGCCTTATTCTAACACAGAACATTTCTTGCAATATCCCTCCCATAAATAATTATAGTTCAGGCCTTATTTTCAAAGTGCAGGATAATTATCAGAATTACTTATGTAAGATTTGGGTCACTTCAGTCAAGTACACCTCCAACTGTTAGGTATAATTGCAAAAACATTAACTACCCTGGGTACACTCACAAAACCAGGAAAACATGAAGTGAAAAAGAGACAGATTAAAACCTTTGTCTCTTTTCATGCTTTCACCCATTAAGAGGCACCTAAGTTAAATCCTTGGGGTGAACTTCACTGACTTTCACAAGCAGCATTTCACCTTGTATGTGGGTTATATTTGATGATTTTGACATGAAAAGCATTTTGCAATGTTTTACAGAGAGGAACTGTGTTAAAATGGGCTGAGGAACATAATCAGATTGACCTTACTTTTGGGTTTTCTAAAACATTAAATGACAATTTAACCATGAAAGAGCTTAATTTTCAGCATAGTCCTTAAACAAAAACCACAAGACAGCTGTGTACTGCTTCAGGAAAACAGGTGAAAAATTCAGTCTTACCTCTCCATGGATTTATTTCCTATACTTTCCCCACCTCCCCTCTCTTAGATTATGGTGTCGGAGAGAACAAGACTAAAGTCTTCACATGTATTTTGAATGTGTTTTTCATTAACTGAGTACATTATGATTTTATTAAAAACAGACATGAAAAATCTACTACACATTTGCAGCAGGTGATTTTCAAAATCTCATAATCTGGTTAAATAAAAAAAAAACCTAGAAAAACCGCAAAGGGACATCTACATGATGAAAGCTAATTTCAAACCCACTTTACCTTCTGGCTCTTGACACTGTAACCATCACTATCAGTATCTATTTAGAATTTTAGACTGACATAATGATACGTGTGACAGATGCTGACAAGGAACAACGTTCTATCAGAACAGGTACCTAGGAAAGAGCTATTCCTTTCCCACAGAAACTGCATATTCCAAACTGAAAAGAAGGCTGGTTTTCCATTCACCATTATTGTAGAAGAAAATTCAACAAATACTCCTTTTCATGATCAAGACAGTCACCTCTCAACAAAAAAGGAAGGTGACAGGTTCAGTACAAAAGGTGAAATAGTTAAAAAAATATGGGGAAATGGAGGCATACTTGAAACATGAGGGGATAGAATGGTAAAGAAAGTACTTTAATGTACTGTTTGGTAAATTAGATTATGTCATCTTAATTGTAATACTGGTGCACATATTATAACAAAAAGAATAACTAATCAATAAGAAATAGTCTCTTACCACTTAGAATATAATTCCAGTTTCTCTCTGTGGTCACAGCTAAGAGCTCTACAGAATATTAGATGAAAAGGAAGAAATAGAAAGCTATGAATTCAGCATGTACAGTTGGACACAAAAAGTAATTTTGCAGTTCCAATCTTAAGATGTTCTGTGCAGCTCTTCATAAAGCAATATTAGAGTGGAAATAGCACGTACACAGTGTCATATACTGCTTAAAATCTCTTTTTTTTTGTTATCTCCTATAAGCTCCTGGTCTAATTTGTTGCGATGCTACTCTTTTATTGAAGGCTACAGATTGAGTCTTGGTGGCTTTGACTGAGGAAACTATTTTGCCAAAGTGGGCAGTGGTTTTTATGTGCCTGGAGAGAAGGTAATGAAAAGTAGCTTTAACAGGCAGTAGGTTTAACAGGCCCTGGCAGCTATCCATGTTGACAGCGTGCCATAAAACAGAAACAGCATGGACTCAGCTTCTTCAACCAGAATGCGAAGCCTAAATTGTTTTCTTCAAAACAAAGTATTATGACAACAACCAAGAATATCTATATGTGTTCCTGGAAGCATCATGATATGAACATTTGGCTAATAGTATATGGTAAAATATATTTGAAAATACTAATGCTATAAACTAACAGTGTGGAGTCCTCCAGGATCTTAATTTATTTTTTTTTTTGTTAAAAAAAGTATATGTGCATTATAGACAGCAAAATTGGAAAATGAGGAAAAAAATAATAGGGATAATTTACCTTATTTGTGAATGCCTGTGTGAGAAAACTCAGCTTTATACAATTCTTCCGAATAGCTTCCAACAAATTTGGTGAGGCTGGGATTAGGTCTCCAGACATTTATGTCCTGTGATTACATTTCAACACTATTGCAGCCCTCCAGAAAACAAACCATTTTCTTTAACCAGCTACAGATTTTATCACTTCCTCCAAGAGACAGAGATGACATAGCAATAAAGAGCATTATATTTCTGTGTTCTGGCTATCCGTATTTGCCAGTTCTCTGCCAGCCCCAGAACTGAGGAGAAAGCTACATTTCCTTACACAGTCTCTCTTCAGTTCTGTACCAAGTTTATCCAAAGTGAAGGACTGACTCACAAATACCTACAATAAATAATATATGACTCAAAACAAATTCCTTAAGCGCATATGGCCACCCGGATCAAAAAATATTTTTTAATTTCTACAGTAGCTGCTGTAAAGACTGACCTCAGTTTTTGTCTTCTTAGGAAAAATTTCCTGTAATAACAGGAAATGTCTGTCCAGTAAACAACTTGTATCATACTAAGGAACTGGTGTTTCACTGGGAATGTTCAGTGTCATCAAACTGTATCTTGCCAAAGGCACATTCAGCAACGTCGATCCTTGTATGCATTTGTTTGCAGTTGAAGTTCAGGGTGTTCACACTGCCCCTGTTAAGACACTAACTGGTGCCAGTCTGGAACTCGCTCCACCTAGAAACTCAAAAAGAGAAAGGCAGAAAATTAACCACAAGGAACTTCTTTGTTGACGCTAAGAGTATTGTGTTTGTACAGTGGCTGTCTACAAAAAGCCCTCTGAACTGATAAACAACCTGCATGTGAATGGAAGAAACCTTCACTCAGTGCTAGAGTGGAATTAGCATGATCCACTTTATTAGTTTCAAATTAACATTCATTGGGAACTTGCTAGGAATGCTTTTTTTCAAATGAAGAGGTGGCTAACGGATGAAAATCTGCACCTCCTGTACCTTTACTGAATTTTTTCCACTTGTATGTACATGCATTACCATATTTACTAATATGTACTATATTATTGATTCATTATTATGTGAACATAATTTTTTAAAAATTAATCATAGTTCACAGGGTCATGAAATAAGGTCAAATGGACAACCTTAATTTTACCAATTGCTAGCATCTGAATGCTTGATTTTGAAACTTTAATGTTTCTTTAATATATTTGCTGAAGACATACATACATATGTGCCAAATACAATGATAACAGTTGAGTTCTGGAAATTCAAAATCTGCATCCACTTGAAAGTTCTGAAAACTGTTAAAGCCCAGCACCAAAATATCATGCTTCATAGACTACTGGACTTTTAAGTTTTATAATACTAAGACTAAGTCCTCCCCTGATTCAAGTCTTCGAATGATGAAAAATTCTAGAATATTCAAGAATTTTCTAGAATCATTCTTCTTTATCACACATTAAATGTTTTGGTGGAGCAGAAAAAATACACCTATACCTGTTTGGGGTGACTTCTGTCAATGACACACTCCTACCAGAGTAATATTATTCTGCTAAGCCATGATCCTAAAATCTATGTTTTATAGTATACCCCACACAGTCATATATGTGTCTTAATTGTAAGAAAAAGTAATACCATTCCAGTAATAGTTTTGCATACTTGCCATTTTAAAAAATGCTGTTTTCAAATTGTTATCTGTTTGGGTTGAAGTTTTCCGCACTTAGGGAACAACAGAGACTGATTTCTTTTTAAAGCTTTACCAAAAAGATTTCCTCCATTTCCAGGAAAAATATCTAGTAAGAGTATAGAATTTTGCCCATGCTAAAAAACACAATTCAATTTTGACTGGTTCAATTTTGACTATATTTGCAATATAGTTTTCAATTTCAACATCTCACATCATTATTTTTTTAGGGTACAGAACGTGTCCTGGTGATAGATAGTAATGAGAATGTTTTTATTAGGACTTCTTTCTGAATTGCTGCAGCAGCTAGAAGATACATAGACAATCGTAATCAATAAGGCCTGAGGTCATATTTGTAATAAGTTGATAAATCAAAATATTAAATAATTGTGCAAGTAGCAGGATTCATCCCTTCTATACTTTGAATAAGGTAAGAGCCCTTAGAAAAACACCATGCTATCACAATATTATAGACTATATCAGACAGCTTTTGAGTTCAACCATTCTAACTTTCAAACTTAATGTTCTTTTAATGTAATATATGAGTATCATACGTCTGTATATATATATAAATAGATATTCACATATAGGTAAGTGGAACCACAAGCAATCAGCAAATTACTGTAACACCAGCTGTGTATATATAGAACAAGCAAGTTCAGTACCACTAAATTGCCTCGTAATGCAGTGGATTCACTTTCTCTCCCTCATTCTTTCTACCCATATAATAATTTCTTTCTTTTGTTGTTTCTCTATTTGCATTATGAACTCTGGGGCTGAGCCTACAGACAACTTTTTCTTCCAGATGAAAAGCAGAAGTACGCAGCCAAGTGTTCCTAATGCAGTTCTGTCTTTACTTTGAACAAATTTTGGCAGCTAAGTCCTCAGACCTTTCCCACACAGAACATCCTTATCTATGTGGGTGCCACTACAGAAACAGAAACATGTGAGTAATTTTTTTTAATACGCCCTTCCATGTAAATAAGGGTGACAGCAGCAGGCTGCTGTGTCAATCGCAAAATAGCACCAGTGATGACAATTTCAGCCTTTGCAGTGCTAGCAGGAGGGACCAGGGGACATGAGTCCTGAATTCTGGTAGATGTGTCCTTTGAGGAAATGGAATTTAACGTCAAGTCACATCCCTCTACTGGTCACATCCCCTTGCGGGTAAGCAAAACACATGACATCTTTATCAGATGACACAAAACCAAGCTCTCTGGTTTATGAATAGCTATTGCCAAATCATCCTGCAAGAGCCTTAAAAAGAAAATTGCATGCAAAATTATAAAATAAGTGAAAACATTAATCATAATTAAACAGAACCACATTGATTGTTGCCAGCTGGATTCAGCCACTGACTGTGATGTGAAGGCTCTTATCTCCTGGTTAACCCAGTTCAGAGATGGATTAATTCTTTTATAATTAATTTCTTAGGTAATTGTGCAAATATTTGTCAAAACACATGATCTGCCACAAAATTAAATATGGGGTGGGTGACAATAAAATCTCAAATATATTATAATATATATACAAAGATAAAAATATATATAATATATATTGTGTGTATATATATATATACACACAAAGATAAAAATACCTAAATTGACTGGATCAATGGAGAATTAAAAAAAAAAATGTTCTATGTTCTGGTCACTCATACAAAGCAGAATTGCTTGGATCTGAAAAAATGCTCCACCACCCATCCCTTCCTCAGCACAAAAGGCCGATCTTACATCACTGTTCAAGGCAGTTGCAAAGAAATATGTACTCATGGAGTCTTTAAATACTTCTAAGTATATTCATTATGTTCATAGTGACATTGCTGTGGACACTATATAAATGGTAGCTGTGCTTGCAACTGACCACTTCAGATAAACAAACATCTTGAAGGACTCACCCAGCATACAAAGTAAGTTGCTTGGCTTTATTTATGAGGAGATTAGCGCTCTCTGGCTAACGTAACACATGGTAGATAAAATAACAAAAGGAAATACTTCTTCATGCAGTATGAAATCAGACCACATTGCACTTCCAGAAGAGATTATGCAAGCAAACTCTTTGGGGCAAGAATCTCCTTTCCTTACTTGTCTATATAGCACCTAGCACATTACTGTGATTTGCATCTCACAACATACATCTACATAATATTAACAAATGGGTTACCAAATGAGGCTGAATAACACTGGCAAACTCTAATGTATTTAAAAATAAATAATGAAATATTCCTCCCGCAGCTATGGAAAGGCAGTGCTGCATCTACACATCGGTTAAATAAATATTCAAACGTTACCAAAAGGGAGAAGTGAAATAATGTTTATCTCTAAAGGGTTACTTTACAGTCTGATGTAAAAGATCTGCTGATACACTATGCCTCACAGAAGGGCTCAATTAATACATAATTTGCCTTCTAACACCAACTGCCAATACAGAGCCAGGACAGCTGACCCCAACTGACAAAAGGGATATTCCACGCCATATAACACCATGCTCAGCAATAAAAGATGGGGAAAAGTTGGGGCAGGAGGGACATTTGTGGTTACAGAGTTTGTCTCCTGAAGCAATCACTGCATGTACTGAGGTCCTGCTTCCCAGCAAGTGGCTGGACATCGCCTGCTGATGGGAAGTAGTGAATAAATGCCCTCTTTTATTTGCTTACATGTGTGGGCTTTGTTTTTGTTATTAAACTGCCTTATCTCAAGCTTGTCCGTCTTATTTTCTCACCCTGTCCTGTTGAGGAGGTGTCATGATTTGGGGAGTGAGGAGAGTAACTGGGTGGGCATCTGGCAGCCAGGCAAGGTCAATCCACCACAGCAGGGAATATCCACAGTATTTTATAATTTGGAGGTTTCGTCAGCCTATCACATCCTGGAAATGGTTTTATGTTCTCTGGTACCCCTCTTGGTCTTCAAACCCATACTGTAGTTATTCCTCTCTGAAACTTGGTCTGGGATAGACCCACCTATTTATTGCCCATACAGTTATTTCCTAGTAATCAGAAATATGACTCACATCAGAAAACAGTAGCAGGTAATGATGCAATTTATGTATGTCCATAGGTAGAGCTTTCATCTAAAAAAAACGAGAGGGGCAGGGCATTAAGAGACAAAGAAGACAGATGAATCAGTGGAGAAAAGACTAGATGAAGCACGGAAAATCTGAAGATTTGTTGTTTAGTATAATCAGTCTCCAGCTGGATGCACAGCTAATATCAAAACACAATACTAAGACTCCACTTAGTGCTACCTACATTAGCAAAATAGCAGCTCCCTGTGAGGTGATTCTCTCCAAAACCAATAAATTTTTTATGTATAAAAAGATAGCAGAGACGAAAAAGTAAAATGCCTGCATGAAGTCATAAACAGAACAGGTGGAAACAACTGGGAGCCCAAACCACTTTCTTTAATTGGGAAGCCACCTGGGGTCACAAGGACTTTCTGGATGGAGAGGGAATAACTTTGAAAAGCACACATATTGTTAGTAAAAAGCAGAACCACTCCTACAACCCGAGGTTAAAGACCAAGTGATATACAGCAGCTGTGTTTCTTTTTTTTTTTTTTTAAGCTGAATTTCAGCATAGTTCCTACTGTCTGCCAGGGTCCCAAATACCAGTACTTAGACCACAGTTCGTACCTTGTTGGTAGTCTCAACAGTTAAAACAATGATTTAACAGATGTGATTCCTGAGTACACCTGCCACCCATAGAAGCTTGTTGATCCAGAATGGACTCCTGCTGAGAGAACTGCATGGGGATCATCTCTCTCATACTGTTTCTGCCGTGAATAAGAGTAGTGCAGCTCCTGCACGTCCTGTTAAAACGTTTCAAGAATACTGTATTGTTTTTCAGAAAGGACTGTCAAGTTATTCTGCCTAATGGCACTGAAGGCTAAATCACACTTTTGTGGGCTAAACCAATGTATGCAGTTTTACTGGTACACAAAAAATCCAGTTTATCAAGGTACTATGAGCTCTGGTAAATTTATAAAATGTGTGTACTGCAAAGAACTTACTGAACAGGCCCGTATTTCAGGTGTTCTGCTTTCTCTTTCTCACATTTTCTGCTTTTATTTATTCATTATATTTTACTTATTTATTTGGGACTTCTATGCCTGTAACAAGAAGTTTCCCTTGGAGAAGTTTTGTCTCATAAACAGGATATTTAGCTGTCATGTGGCATATTGTCTTTGGAAAAAATTATCTTTAGAGATATTCAGCTCTTTTGAAAAAATTGTGTTAAGATATTTTGTAGCTATTTTTTAGGTTGGGTTTTTGTTTGGGTGTTTGTTTTTTTTTTTTTAGCTAAACTGCAGGTTTATCCTGACAAGTAATGATTTAGTTACCTTACATGCTAAGCTGTGTATACGCTTGCAACAGAGCTGCTGTTGAACCTTAAAGGCTACTCTTTTAACATGAAAATACTGTTTAGACAAGATATCTGAATTTCTGTTTACATTTTTACATGAAGCTTAAACCATTAAAAATAATTAAATTTATGTTCCAGTTACTATGAAAAAGCTTCACCCACGAGGATTATTTTTCATAATAAAAATATTTGTCCCTCCTCCTTTGCAGGTGTTATAAAGTAGTAACTATGCAATGCTTCAGTTCATTCTGCAACATTTATAAAACTGTAACCGATAAATAAAGTGTGTTTGTTGGGCTTTTTTTTTCCCCAAGATAAAGATATGGCTGACATCAAATAAGAAAAAAAAAAAAAAACAAACCACCTCGTGATTTAACAAAGAGTAAAAGATATCATACTTTTTGACAAATATAAAATACGAGCACCTCACTGTGCTTTCTGAACGCCTGAAGTGGTTCCTGAACTAATAAAACCAATTTGGCAGAAGAAAGACATCTCTGACTGAGCTATTGCACAGTGTCTAAACCCATAAGCATTTAAACCATTTCTTGTTACTTCCTTCCAAACAAAAGTTGGGTGTATTCAGTGTTCACACTGGACACAGTCAACTCAAATGTATCATTGCCACCAAAAAAAAAAAAGGAAAGGTAAACAGTTGAAGAGTGGGAGGCAAAGAAATCTACCACTGTAGCACATTAGTCTCACCAGAATAAAATTTGCATTAAAAGTTGCTATGAAAGGAAAGGGCATGACTTTCAGGTTGTTTAACAGCAGTAGCAGTTCTGAACTCCACACAAATGAGGGTACCTGCATCTGGTACAACTGAACAAAGAATTCTGCCTATAAATAGTATCCCATATTAGTATTAACAATAAATTCCTTCATTAAGACCTAACAAACATTTGCTTATGACCAGATTAACTCCAGAGATTATTTCACTTTAGAAACATTTCTAAATACGCATGAAATATGACAGTAAGCCATTAGGAATTAATAAACCTCCACAACCTTTTGAATCAGTGGATAAAGTACAAAACTGAGTAAAGGGCTTCTGTTGACAAATAAATGCCAAAACAATGGATAAAGACAACAGCATTGACAAGAACCCAGCATGAAATATCTTTCTGAAATGTTTTCAAGTGTTATTCACCTGGTGCTTTAGAGAAACACACTGGAAAAGCAGGAAGAGACAGTTGTTGTTAGTATAAGAGTGTAATAACTATTAGCTACAGAAAAAGAGTGATGATAATAATGCAGTTAAAGTTGTTGTTGTACCCCTCTCCTGCTGTTACATCTACCTTTCTCCTGCTACTCTGGATCCCCTGATCAGTTTCATTCTTGTTAGGAGTGTGAGGTGGTGACAATAGTGATGCACAAGCATTTGGAGTCCTTGGCCAGGATTAGTATGATCTTTGTGTTTATGATTTCGTATTCCTCCTCTGGAATCCACTTGGGGTCATTTTTATCTTTGCTAATGTGCTTTTCTACCTTTCTCTTTCCTCACTGCTCTGCAGCTCCTTTCCTACACCTGAATTTACTATGCATGTTAGATACAATTTCCTTGTTAACTCCAAAACCAGTTTTTTCTAGCTCCAGGCCTGCATTTCTTTAACTGACCATGGGTAAGCTGTAAGGTCTCCAATGCCAAGTGCATCCTGCTTCCCTTATCACACTGAGCCGATACTCCCCTACGGTGCACCTTAGGCCTTCAGTTCTCCAGGTCCTCTGCTACCCTGTCAGCCCCAGGTACCTCTACGCTGTATCACAGATCCACAGAATCACCTAGGTTGGATGGGACCTTTAAGATCATCTAGTCCAACCATTAAAAAAAACAAACAAAAAAACCACAGAAAACAAAACCACCATCACTAAACCATATTCCTGAGCACCATGTCAACTCGTCTTTTGAATATCACCAGGGATGGTGCCTCAACCACTTCCCTGGGCAGCCCATTCTGATGCTTGAAAACCCTTTCAGTGAAGAAATTTTTCCTAATATCCAACCCGAACCTCCCCCGGCGCAACTTGAGGCCATTTCCTCTTGTCCTATGGCCTGTGACTTGGGAGAAGAGCCATCCCCATGGCTTGGGTGCAGAAGACCTCGCTCTGCACAGTGTAACAAGAACACAAAACCGTGGCCATACCCCATAAACAGAAGTCAGCCAGAGGCACCCGCTCCACTTGCGAAATTGCTGCTACAGCGGAACCCGGCAAACCACCGGCGCAGGCAAGGCCGGGCACGGCGAACGGGACCAGCCCCGCTTCCCAGGCCCCGCAGAGCGGCCCCGCACCTCCACGGCCACAGAGACCCCCGCAGCCTGAGGGCAGGGCCGGGCCGGGACACACCCGCACCCACCACCGCACCGCGGCTGCCGTTACCTCCCCTGCCCGCCCGCCGCGGCCACACCAAGGTCGGCGACCGGCGGCCGCTGCGGGGACACGGTTTCAGCCCAGCAGGATTCCACTGGAAAAAAAAAATAATTAAAAAATGATCGTTTTCTCCCCTTTTTTCTTTTTTTAACAAAGCGCCGCGGCCAGAAGTTTGCCGTTCCCGGGCACGCAGGGGAAGGGCGAGGTGGCGTCTCCCACCTGAGGGGCCGGCCCTCAGTCCCCGCTCTCCTTCCCCCCGAGCAGCGGGAGGAGGGCGAGATCGGCCCCGCCGCACAGCGTTATCACCGCCGGGGGCTGGAGCGACTCTCTGGGAAGGCGGAGGCCCAGCTCCGGCCCCGCGGGGGCCTGGCACAGCGCTCCGTACAGCCCCGCTGTTTCCGGGTGGGGGGGGGGCGAGCGGCGGGGGT